GTACAATGATTTGTATTTTTTACGCCTAGGATAGTTTTCTAAAGACCTTCTCATAAAAAACAAAAGTACGCGAATTCTTCAGTAATATGTACATTTTTTGATAAATAAGAAGGTAAGTGCACTTAGTTGAGGGATATTTAGGTAGGCATATTTCAGAATTTTTACTAAGAACCTTAAACCTTAAGGAGCAACACCGTTTACTGGTATTTTGTATTTCTTCTTGACTCATTTTTCTGCGAGTGTCGCTTTGCTTTCAGATCAATTTAAGTGAATTGCAGCGCATTAACACAAGCGGTGATTAATGCGTATTCGCTGCCAGTAAATACTTTAATCGTCCTGAAATGAGCCATCAACTGCAACGAATCAACAAGGACTCAACAGATGGCTCTTGATTATCGAGTGGCCCGTAAGTTGATGCAGCAATTTTATCCATTAGCTGAGCTCCTTGGGCTCAACATCCCTAGAAACCCTCACGCTAATCAAATTGTAATGGCTCTTGGGGCAATTAAAGTCGCCTGGAAACATGGCCAAAAGGAGCCGCTGTTCTCCATTTGTATTCATGAATATCATCCGAATATGTGCCCCGCTCCTCTGGCCCCCGCTTATTTGGCACATCATCCTCTTCTCTGCGACGGCGTGTTTGCTTTTCGCCAACCGCGATGCCAACTTTTTCTGGTATGCAAATGAATGAAATGGCGATGACACGGCAAGTTTAGTGACTGCCGCAGACACTACAACTACAGTCATCATAAGAATGGTATATATAGTCTATATATACAGCTGTGAAAAAAATAATAGCACCACTAACCCAAAAAAATTTTAACTAGTCACCCTACTCACATTTTTTAACTTTTTTAACTTTTCAAAACGGGTTTTAAATAGTAAGACTAAACATTATTTGAATATGAAAAAAAATGTTAGCTTTATAAAAGGTTTCTGGACTTATTTAAGAAAATCTATGCAAAACTGGAAAAACGTACGAAAAAAATAATAGCACCACTTCTCTAAAAATAGAATAAAAGGTAGAAAAATGACAAATGGGTAACTTAATCTTTAGTTGGCGGTAGCTAACAAGTAAATCTAAGTTTAAAGTGTAAATCTTTTGCGATTTTTGGATATAATGACTTACTATCGATTAAACAAGTCAGGACCCTACCTATAAAGGAATTGGGGCCCAAAAGTCATGATATATTTTCAAATTTTGTTCGGAAATGATTTAAGACGTTTTAGATTAACTGTATAAACTGTCTTTAAAAAAAAAACTCGAAGATTTTTGGTTGTGTTATGGTCAAGCGAGTACACAAGTCACTGTATATTGCTGACTGAGTACTTTTGAACTTTTTCTTTGCTATCCTGACCGTGATCCTGGCCGGATTTTATTGGTCAAAGATTCATTTAAGAAGTATTTTGTATTCAGTTTAAGCTACGAATTACTACCGTATTACTATTTACATCATAGGATGATTCATGAACGATGTATTCATCCGTATTGATCTTACTTCAAGAAGGAAAAACAAGCCTATGTTAATACTAGGACCATGCTCAATAAATGGATGTTTTGGTACCATGTTTTTGGTCAATTTAGGTGTTTAGAAGACACATGACTTATAAAAAGGATTTCTTCTTACCCAATTTAACTTTGCCTTCACACATTCTCATAAGTTTGCGGGCATTCATTTGTAAGTTTTTTTGACGAGCCCTATGCCCTTGTAAATGTGTTTCGCATTTCGGATAGGATTTTTTTTTAAGTGCATGTTTTATAAATTTGTTTATTGAAACATTATACAACTATTAAAATATTCGCTGATATTTTAAGCACGTGTTTTAGTTTAGTTTTGGCCCTGATAAGATTCTTTGTGCTTTGTGATATAACATTTTGGAAGGAAAAATGGGCCAGAACTCGGTTTTTCTGTGATCCTTCAAAGTTTATGCCATTCTTAATGAAGATGATCCAAAACCTAACCAATCCAACCGGTTTTCATGACCGTTTTCCATCCAATATGTTTCTTTTTTGAATATTTTTCTTTTCCGACTTGGAAAATTTTCCACATGTCCTTGTATTGCCAAATGGTAATCAATTTGATGTCTGGATGTCAGGAGAAGTTAGTTTTAGTCGAATCTCATAAAATATATCCTTTATACACAAGAATATTGGCGCATCGTAACGTTTTATTTAAAGAAAACGGAAGTGGTGCTATTATTTTTTTCGGCCTTTTTTTTGACTTTTTTTCTTAAAATCTGAAAAAATTATATGTTGACAATATTTTCGATATCCGTATCAATTTTTTCAAATAGGTGGAATACTAATCAAGATAATAAAAAACACTTCTTATATAAAAATCCCCGTTTTCCACGTATTTCTTTAATATTAAGAACCTGTGACGAAGTGGTGCTATTATTTTTTTCGCAACTGTAGGTATATATAGCACGGTTCTCCGCATCCTCTTTCGTCGTCAAAAAGGTGCTACAGTTGCTCACTTTTGCAGCCATTAACATGCCAGGCACAAAGGCGAAATAATAATGGAGAATTTAAAAAGAAATCATATGGAAATATGTATATATAATAGAGATATATCAACAAGAATTATTATTAGAACATGTTAAGAACTCTATAATACAACAAAAATAGTCATAGAAACAAAATTATTGTTACAGGAATTTTATACAATTCACTATGGGCAAAAAATTCGAAAGTGAGGCATTTTTAAATTTTTTTGTTCTTCAGTATTACATAAATGACCTTCTGTGGTTATTTACAATACTTAAAGGAACCTAAAATCCATTTTCAAAGAATTTTATTTGGCGTTTTTCGCTATTTTTTCCCTTAAGAAATTCGAAAGTTTGAAATAGGGTCACACGTTTACAAAAAGGGACGAAAAACTTTGTAGTTTTCACACCTCGATTTCTTTGGTTATTGTAAGCCAACCAAAAAAGTTTAAATATGGATACAAAGAGTGAAGGATTGTTAAATAAATTATAAACACTGAATGTTTATTATATGTGCTTTTTGTCCATTTGTTTGATGAGTTGTCGCTTAGTTTTTAGATGACAAATAAGAAATGTATTTTTGCTTTCTGTGGAGTGTAAGATGTGAGTATAGGAGAGTATAGGCAAGGTAAAAATAGGAAGTTATAAACAAAACAATTGCTAATCGAACCCTATCAATACTTTTTGCACGTTTTTGCACGTTATACGTAAAACCTCCATGTTGTAGTTGCATTCGAGTTCTGTCACTACACATTGCTTAATGTTTGTATCGGCAACAACCGGCAACAAACCGCTGTGATGGAATTTGTTTTGCAAACTATGAACGGAATCGAATTAAGCGATAGTCAGCACACAATAGTCAAAAAAAATTAAGCAGATTGTTGCCTTTTTTAGTCGTAATTTGCCAAAATGTCATAGAATAATAGACCGATTCAAGGAAGAACATTTCCTGCGGCTTTCGTCGAACATGAAAATTTCATTTTTGGAAAAGGGCTTGCCAAGCGACAAACCTGGTCGCAAATGCCTAACTTCTAATGAGGCAGGACCACGATTAAAGCGTAAGGTGGCATCTCAATTGGCGAAAGAAAAAGAAAATTCGATGCCATTAATTTGGCATGGTGCTTCTTTTTGGCAAAAAATATCAAACAAGAAGATACTTCAGTTTTGTTGCGAAAGGCGTTAAATATGAAATATTTATTAACAAATTCATTTTTTTTATATCCTTGCCTTTAAAAGTAAATATGCGGCGTTGGCGGTTGATGGAGACTTGGTCCAATTCAAAATTTAACAAAAACAGAAATTGTATTACAGTTACCAACACAAACAACATTTTCTTTAAATCCTTGCCTTCAAATGTATATCTGCGGCGTGGGCGTAGGATGAATATGTGGTCCGATTCAAAAAGCAACAAAAACCGAAATTACATCTTAGCCTTAAAAGTATATAATAAAAATTTTAGATTTGTATCTTTAAAACTGGAGTTTATGCCTCAAGGACTGAATATTTGCCCATAGTGCAATTGAGTGTCAAATTTGCATCAATAAGATGAGTTTTAAATAAATACTTTCCAAAGAATTAAATTGAAACTTTCGGTATAAAAATGAAACTACAAAATGTTAAGTTTATGATATTTTATATAAAATTAATACTACTGACTATAGAATATGTATTATTTAGTATTAGGTTAATCCATCTTTTTTGGACTTAATCTAGTATATTTTTAATACAACGCTTAGAGAGTTAACACTTTTTTTTTTGGGTGAACTTATCTTCAAGGTAACTTTGCCATAACTTATTAGATGGACTACTTTTGGCTTGGCCTACCCTGTAATGTGGCTATAGTCCGGCATGCCCCGCCATTCCCTTTTCGCATTTACCATGAACAGGCGGAAATAATAAAATGCAAAAATATTATTTTTTAATTAAGTCATAATAGCAATGTCTGCCAGATGAGAAAGAGGGCTAATCGGGAGTGGGCCTACCGTACCCCCACCCCCCTTGCCGAATGCTGTGTGAATGCTAATGACCTGTGCCAGGAAACCAGGGGGAATAATGCTCATTTTCGGAGGATAGACGGGAAGACAGGCTCCAGAGACGTGCTCACAGTTTTCGACAACGCGCACGCAGTTTGCATATTTTCACATCATTTTGCATTTCTTCAAGGACAAAAGTGGAGCTGGAGCTGCTCGGTGGGCGTAGCCACAAGGACACCGACCAAATTGCAGGACCATTACACCAAAAACACCCAAAAATAAAGCCAGAGGAGATGCCATGGCAACTACAAATTACCCAAAGTGGGTCGTCATCCAAACAGTAATTACTTGTATTCGAAGGGATACTTGACTTTGACCACCGGAAATTTGTGGTCCCTGCGGTTCTGTGTCCTTTTTCCCGGGTTATCGGGACATCGGAAAATCGGGATATTCGTCACTCGTTTAATCAATCAATTAATCAAAAGTTAGTGAGCCAAAGCTGCGGGGCGGGTGGATTGAAGCGATTGAAAAGATAAGGCAAACACTTAAGGGGTTTATTGAAGGGAATTAAATTAAATTTTCACGCTAATGAGCATCCCATCTGGTCGGAGCAGTGGGATGTGGGTCCTTTGAAGGGAGGGAAATGTGGTTGGTTGCCTTTTAAAGGAGCCAAACTGTACGTGTAATTTCTGGGAGTAATTTTCGTAATTTGTTCTGGCAGCCAGAAACTAATTTTGTCGGTGGTTTTTGGATTTGCGGCAAGAGTTTAGCAACTTTCACTTGGCATATGACTTTTTATCATCATTCCCGCGCTCTCCTGAGATACATTCATAAATCATTTGCTGGACTCCTCCTGTATCCGTATCTTTCCGCCTCATTTGGCCCGGGCTCAGGAATTAATCAAACTTGAAAGGAGCCCTCGTCGTCCTTTGGCTGAAGCGTTCGTAATCATCAGTGGCATCGAGGAGATAGGGATTGCATATACACATATATACTTGTTAATAACATGGTTTACAGGGGGATATTGAGGTCATCAAATGGAATAGGGATTATTTGAACAATTTAGTGGTATCTGTTTCAGTTTCCAATAACCAATATCATATGAAACCAGAGTAAACCTAATTTAAAATATATCTGGAGTGGGTTCGTTGCCTTGGGAGGAGCGCAGTTTCAATGGATGCTTCTGACGCAGCTGTTCGTGTCCAGGACGCAGGGAACGCTGCTCCTTGCGCACATTCCAGTGCAGACTGTACAGCTCCTCGTCCTCCGACTGGGAGCCCTGAGCCTTCTGGGAGGTAGTCGGTTTCTCCCTATCCCGATCCAGCTTCGTTTTGGACACCGAGTCACCGGGACGGGCCTGCAAGGCGGTTGGTGACTGGGAAAGGGCCTCCTCCGATCCAAAACTCTGTTCCAAAACCCGACTTTTGGGTATACTTCGCTGTACCCTCGGAATTCCCAGACGCGGCATTGCAAACTCTAGTGGCTTCATCTGTGCCTCCTGCAGGCGCATCTTGACCATTCCAGCGATGCTCGGTCCCGAGCGACGTTCCCTGGGAGGATGACCACCACTACCACTGGCAGCCAAGGACTCTCTTTTGGTCAGGGTCTTCAGATTGAAGTCGGACCAGAGTTTGGCCAACTTGTCGGCGGTTGAGGGTTTTGGTTCTTCAGTAGGCTCACCACTTGCCGAATCTTTCTGATCGCTATTGTCACTATTTGAAGTAGCAGTTTCCAGGAAGGCAAAGCTCTCATGGTAAAAGGGCTTCTCGGGCGGCTTATCTGTGGCACTGGGCGGTGCCATCTGGTACTCGATCATCTGCAGATTGTAGACATTCAGATGATATCGCATGCTGCGCATACGGCAGCGCACAAACTCGGCACTCATATGGCTTCCCAGCTGGGCGGCGATCTTCTCCCAGGCGTAGCGCTTCTGCTCCGGATCCTTGTGCTCCGGCAGCGAGGTGTTCCACAGGCAGGGCTCCGCCTTGTAGAGCTCCACCAGGCGCAGGTTGAACTCCTTCGAGTGGGTGGAGGGCAGTGAGGGAGCTGCACTCCGCATGGCCAATAGACGGCGCTGCCTTTCAAGACGTCGTTCCTCCATCATTTTGAAGCCGGCTTTGTTGCTTGTATGTTATTTGTTGTGGGTGATTGGTGATGGGAAAGCAAATGAAAACGAAGTGTATTGCTTGGCCCAGGTTGTTTCTATGGGGAAATTAGGGAATCCATTCCATTTCGATATTAACTTGGAACGCCACGTCTGTCAGATGAGTGCAAATTGGCTGTGGTAAGGAGGCAAGGAGGCCAAGTCAAGGCCATGTTGCCTCTGGGCAGGAATGCATGTGCACATGCACACTCGATGCCATCACTCACATGCTTCAGTGCATCCGCATAATTTGTGCTCCGGGCAGGATGAGCAGGAGCAGGACGAGCCGCTCAAAGACATCAGAATGTGGCAACCGCATAGTTGCCTCGGCAGCCAGGAAGAGGCCAAAAGCAGGGGCGGAAGCAAGTGGGTCACATGAAAGTTGCAACAAAGGACATGGGTCTCACTCGCAAGGGGCAGAGGGGGCGGGGAGGAGGAGCGGTTAAATTCGAAAGGATATGGCACGTGAGTGACGACAAAGCTCTGAAGGAAGCTTGCCAGTGCCGACATTTCGCCCTTTTTCTAGCACATCTTCCGCTTTTTGATATGGAAATTGTACCTAAGACAACTTTATATCCAAAAATATTATTATGTATTTACTTAAAGCTCAGAATCAAATCCCAAAAAGTGCAAAAGTGGCCAACAAAATTAAAACCTTAAAACATATTTTATAGAAATATTAACTATTTAATTTTTCCAAATTTGGATTATTATCTTTATTGTTTCCGCCAAAATTCAGATGTTTAGGATAGGATCTGAGTTTTTTGTTACAATAGGAATTTTTCTAAAGGGGTTTTATCTGTAACTTGGCCAAAAATTGTCCCAAATCAAAGATACAAACTGGTTTGAAGAGCTAACTATATACTAAATTTGTCTTTATTGTTTCCGCCAAAATTCAGATGTTTAGGATAGGATCTGAGTTTTTTGTTACAATAGGAATTTTTCTAAAGGGGTTTTATCTGTAACTTGGCCAAAAATTGTCCCAAATCAAAGATACAAACTGGTTTGAAGAGCTAACTATATACTAAATTTGTCCCTAACAGTTTTCGGGTGATTTAGAAAAATCCATTTTTGGACCCAATTTCGCATTTTTAATATAATAATATAAAATACAATATTTTGAAAAAAATTGCCAAAAAATAAAATGTTTAGGTTTAAATGCCAATCGATTACGAATTTAATAACGAGCTCTACCTCGTCAATATTTGAATCATTATTCCCCATGTTTTGGTCAAAATACTGATATTTTAGGGTGGAAAATATGGATAAGAATTACTGATAAAAATTATTGTTTTTTCTGCGGTTCTTTAGTCGAAATTTAAACGACTGACCGTTGTGAACAGAAATCGCTTGGAAATTTAACTACGAGCTCAACGAGGTATTACATTTGATATTTGGATCTTGCCTTTGGCCAAAATACAGAGTTTTTTTTTTAATAAATTAACAGCTTTCGGTGGTACTATTTACTTTGTTTTATTTATTTTTAAGATGTTTATTTTTATAGAGTGCCCAGCTAGTACTAACAATAATTTCGGCATCTCTACGGCCCAGAGAAATACGTAACTGCGGTGAAATTAAATCGCAGCTCAAGCCAAATCCGTCAACGCTAAGCTCTCCATCTCCAACTTCCTCACCTTCTGCTTCGCCCATTGACATTTGCAGGATCCGTGTCCGGTAACTCGGCTCTGCTCGGTTGGGTGTTGTGTGTAGGGTGTGAACTCGGCAGGAAGGGCATTTAATTAATTTCTCCGCCCACACGTGGAGGGCAACGGCGGGGCAGGAATCTCCGACACCCACGGAACGGAATGGAATGCCAGAGATTGCGACATTCCGATACGCGTCGTTCGTCAAATGCAAATGTTACGCACTTAATGCCAACATTTAAATAAACAAAATGTGTGCCAATTAAGCGCAGAGGGGAGACAGGAAGGACAGGGGTAATTTTGAATTTTGCCATTGTGCCGCCTAACGAACGTGAGTAATTAGGCTTAATTGGCATTGGGCCGGGCCTCTCCTCTCGCACGTTTGCATAATTCAACAATGAATATTGGTCGAAACGGTGCACAAAAAGCGGGGACAATTCGAAGCATTTGATTTGATCGCTTTCAGAAGGACTCCACTAATTGCCCACAGCTGAGAGAAAGTTTGTCGCTCGGCTCATCGAAAAGACCACTGGGAAAAATGAGTTTACATTTGGGAAATAATATAACAAAAATGTTTTATAAGACAGGCAAAAATATTTTTGAATTTAAGAATAGTTAGCTTAGACAAGACAAGACAAGAGATTCCCGGATTCCCGTTACTTAATTTTTGATGGCTCCACCTGGCGGATGTTTCAAATTTTGTGCAATAGTTCAATTTGAAAAATTGCTTCTATATTTTGATAGGTATTTTAAACACAACAAAATTGCATTAACACTTTTCCAAAATCTTCAAAAATGTGAGCGCCAGACAAATTGTTCCCATTTACGAATAATGGGGATAAAAATGCATTAGATATATTTAGGATTTTTCGAGTGTATATAAAGTCGTGCCAGAGGCACCGACAAAATTAATGCTTGCTCAAGCCTCGCATAATCCCCGGATGAGGGAAAGTCTCAGGCGGTGACAGCTTTGGGTTGGAACTATGCACAGGAGTGATTAATGCAACTTAGTTGGGATCGTGACCTTGACGACTGACGACTGATTTGACCACTTGTGGCTGCCGACCGCCCACTGCGCCAACGACTGTCGAACGAAATTAGTTGAGGGGCCCAAGAAACTCATTTGCCAGGCTCGAGAAGGAAAGCTATTATCCGAATAGTGTGGATTAGCTGGCAAATTCCCATACCCCCCAACTGGCAATCAGCAACAACAGATTTAGTTTTTCCAATTAATTACAATGCACATTCGATGTGACTTTTGTATTTTGCGGTTGCGTCTCCTATAAGCGGATTAAAAGGCATTTCCTTTGAAGAATTTAATTGCCAAAAAACATTTAGGTTAATCCCTTGGACAATTTCCGATAGACAAATTCATTTTGATTACCTACAAAAATGTAATTTTCTGGCTCCAAATGAGAAGCAAGCAAACCAATCCTACAGCAAAAATAATGTCATGCAATATTAAAAATATTTGTAAATATAACAGCTTTATAATAAGTTCGGGCTGAAATTGTAATAACCTCGGCAGGGGTATAAATGCAAATATGGGAAAAACAAACTATGTCAACAGTGAAACATTTGATTAAATATGAACAGAGAGCAAATAAATAGAAGGGGTTTCATTGTAATCCGAAAACAATGCCCTTGTTCATTATCCCAGCTATTCAACCCAATTAAGCAGCATTTTATTAAGGAATTTATGTGTTTCTTTTGTTATTAAGCGCCGGAAAACTTTTATTCCTTCTTTTTTTTTGTTGTATATTTTTGTCAACTTTTCAGCTTCAACTTTTGGCTAATAATTTGACCGCCAGGTTGTGCGCATACTGCCTCGGTCCTCTTGTCCTTGTCCCGGAATTCCGAATAGACAATAGAAAATTTAATAAAGTCACCATCGAGCAAGTCCCCAGTCCGGTAATTGAGTTTTGATGGTCGAATGTCAGGCGCCTCGTCCGGCCACATCTGTTGCCAACATGTAAATAAGGTCCTGCCCGCAAATAGCCACAGATGCCTGGCCACCCAGTTGCCTAACGACCACCATTTGTTGCCATCGGTCCGCAATATTCGAGTCATCGTGGGGCACCCTTTTGCCCCATTGCCCGGCTTGGCCCCTTTTGCCCGCTGAAGGGCTCGTGGTGGCCAGCCATGCGCCCCAAATGAAGGCCCAAAAGGCTCTAACACTTATTGCGACTTCAATCGGGAATGAGGCCGAAAATGGGGGCTCCGATCTCAACGAGGGGAAGGAGGAAAGACGACGGGGTACACGATTACACCAAAACAAAATATATAATGAAAGTTCGAACAAAAAAGTACAGTAGAGAGCGCTGTAGTCGAATGAACTGCTTGCACTGCTTGCACGCGCGGAACCTGCGGCTATTCCATTATTCGCACATAACTTTTGAATAAATGGTGCGATTTGAAAATTTCAAGATTCTAATATCGCCAGAATACTTACTGGTTTACATTTTTAAAATGGCCTTTTTTAATAAGTGTACAATCAGATTTATGGTTGCATATTCGTAAAAAATATTATAATCTATTCAAAACTCTTATCGTATCTAGAATAGTTTTGTTGGTTATAAAATAAACGTTTTTTTTATGTGTAGAGCTCCTACCATCCTACCATATTCCCGGCGGACGGAGGAGTTTTGTGCCATGTTTACACACAGCAAATTGTGTTTAAACTAGATGCACTGCAGCGCATGGGATTTGGCTGCCATTGCAAATGCATTTGGGCAGAAATCAAGCGATTTCTCGAATCCATTGTGCGGTGGACCGTGTGGTCGTGTTGGTTCCATTTTCATTAACAGTCCTTCTGTGGTGAGAAGATCTGCAAGAGTCACTGGGCATACCATACACATATACACTGTGAGAAAAATTTATGATTTCTGATAGTAGAAGGCAATTAAAGCTATAAAGTACTTTCAAATGATTACCACTTTTCAAGATCTTTTTACTCGGCTCAAGCTTCAAGATCTCTTGGGAAGTATTTTTCAATGATTGTGTTTTACAACATATTGTTAATTTTTTCCAGTGCTTGCATTTATAAATATTTGGGGTTGCCAATGAGTTTTTCCGTTCGACATTCGTTAACATTTTGGCAAAAACATTTGGCACATGGCTAACAAGAACACTATTTGCGCTGCGACGATCAAAGGCTTTAGCTTCGTTAATATTTTGCAATAAGTGTTGGTTTGATTTTTTTAATTTCGCTAACACAAACTAGACTTTCTTGGTAATACTTACCGATTTTTGGAATATGCCTACCCTTATTTATGGAAAACATTGAATCTGAGACCAAGCTAAGGTGGCAGGTGTTGACCTATCCTGGGAAAAAAAGAGGGGAGGCCCCTGCCAAATTC